CAGAGAGACTGCAGGTCATAACTTCTTACCTGAAGTTCAGTTCACACTTGGACCGGCGGCCGCCTCGGGTCTCTTTTCCTTCTGCGTCCCCTTTCCTTCATCCACCTGCTGCCTCCACCACTTGCTAATGTTACTGAATCTGTGGAAACTGTGCGATGCCACCACACGAAGTAACGAGTAACGACCCTATCTAAATCCCAGTAACGAGTAACGCGTTCCTGATTTTGGCATAATAACTAGTTACCATGCTCGTTACCACAATAATAACGTAGTTACTGTAACGCGTTACTTAATAACGCGTTAGTCCCAACACTGCTCATGAGCCACGTCATTGTCCAGCACGCATTCTCTTGGTGTGCATTTGTGTTCTGTTTTTTTTTTTTTTTTTTTTTTTTTGCCTTCTTGTATATCATACGGCATAATTCACAGTATTTCATACAATCACACGGCATCAGATTATGTGTCGGCTCTGTCAGTTTGTGTTGTTGCGTTTGGCGATGCGCTGACTTGCTGATACGCTTGCTTTCTGCACATTTCACCGTCTGTGGCGGATAGTTTTGGCACAATGTAAAGCATACATTGCATCTGAATGTACATGCATGATGCAGTGGAGTTTGGTAAGTACTGTAGCAGTAATTACAGAAATAGCCAGCCGTCCAAAAACCCTGTCGTATTTTCAATGACATAATAATGATCATCGTGTAAACACAAGTGTATTATTTGAGGGCGTGGTGCGTCATGTGTTTTGAAACAGTGTAGACATTTATGCCCTGCAAAGTGGGGAAATTATAATTTCAACATTTAGTTGTTTTTCAAAACTGGTGACACTGGTGAATGACACCTGCTGTGTGGAGTTGAACTCTGCATTGATGTGAAGCTGTTTATCACTGACGATAAAACAGTGATTAAAATCTCTAAAGAACTGCAGCAACTAAAAAGACAAAGGATGAATGCTGCAGAAATAAAGGTTGATTCTGTTCATCTGAACGTGAACCTTTTGGGATTTACTTACCTGGATGACTGAGCATGCATCAAGACCTTCATTGAAGGAATCAATTTCTAATTTTGTTCACATTATTTTATGCTGCTTTTGCAACCTTTCAATTTTATTTCGCAAAGACTCTGCAGTGAGTTTGACATTTAGTTTTGCAGCCAGACCCTCAAACGCTTCAAGGTTTTCCATTTGCTTATCTCATTCTGACTTTAGAAAAATTCCTGGCTCAGCTTATGTATTACAGCAGACACAGGCAAAGAACAGATGATTCAAATCACATTTTGACAAAATCAGTCATTCCAAATTCATAAAATGGTCTGTATTTGTATAGCGCTTTACTTGTTCCCAAGGACCCCAAAGCGCTTTACACTATACACAATCATCCACCCATTCACACACACAGTGTTTTAACCCTTTGTGACCATAAGGGTGTTACAATGGGTGGTGCTTGTAATCACTGAATAAAAGGCTGCAAGGAAGGCTGTTTATTTGAAGCTGGCTAGGAAACAGGTGAGGAGCGTTCAGCTCCAAGAGCCTGGTTCCGACCAGCCTCCCTTGCTAGCAAGTAAAAACCGGTTCCGTCGTTGTCTTACTTTCTTAATGGGTGATGAGTCTCTGAACTAGCGGGCCTGCTGAACCACAGACCCAACATTACATAGAATAAAGAATAAAATACAAAAAAAATGAAAATCTAAGTTAGACTGTTTAGTATTAATCAGCTGGGAGATGTAGAGTTGAATGTTTAATTTTATTTTATTGTTGTAGCAGTAAAGTGAATTTTCATCTATTTCAAAATTCATTTGTAGTTTATTTTTTCTATATTTTCTCTCAGCCCCATTCACTGTATCTCTGCTTTTAGTGAACCGTGTACACCAACAGTTCTGGAGCAGTATGATCAAAGATTTGACAAATGGTATTTAATGGTATTAGTGAACGATGCTGGGACTCCAGCTATTGAAATATCATACCATCCATTCAAATTTGATCAAACTGGAACACCTTCAGGATGACACTTTTAGTTGTTTCTACTTCTGCCAGCGGTGAAAGGATGACAGCACACTGTAGGTCCCACTTGTTCTGGGAGAAAGTCTCTTCAGAGATGCGATATCAACACGAAACCTGTGTAAATAATGTGTGACAGCATCAACCACCACAGCTGTGTCAGCAGCAACAGACAAAAGAGGAAGGGGAAGACTCACAGACTGAATGTCCAACCAGTCAGAACCAGAAAGCTTTCTTCATCATGCTGAGGAAATGCTGGTTGGTATTGGGCCTGGTAAACAGCAGAAGATCTCTTCTGATTTCTGGTAGGTCTCTCTCTAAAGTCTGATGTAAGAGAGGGAAGTCGTACAGGTGGAGCTGAAAGTTGGAAACCAGGAAGACCTGTGGAGACTCGATGCAGAAATCTTTCAGTCCTGTGTCAAAGAAGGAGTACACAGTGTGACAATTAGATGTGAATGATAAAATATTCTAAAACTTAGTTTTCTCATTAAAGCTGATTCAGTGACTCCCCCGAGTTTATAGACCTGTAATGGATTTTAGTGGGTAGTTTAGTGGTTTAGGCTACAGTCGGTCCTGTGTCAGTCACACAGGTCATTGCAGTTACTTAACTTTGCATTATTTTCATCAGGTTTTTCTTCTGAAGCTCATCATTAATTCATTTTAAGCTGCAGAGTTTGTCACAGTCAGACTGTGATGACTGTTAAAGTTTATGAGGAACCAAAAGCTCAATAAATATGAACCCAAACACCAGATAGATTATTGGGTAAGTAAACTGTGCTGACCTTAAAACATGATGAAGATAACCTGCTCCTGACCAGGTTATGTTCCACATTTCAGTTTAAAATCAACTGAAAACACCATGTTTCCACTGATTCTTTTACTGACAGCAGGTTTTAAGTGCAATATAGATTTATTTATTTGTTTTATATGTTCAACCTGGGAAGCTGCTAGAGCACAGAACTAATAACACTAATCATAAAATAAATGGACACAAGAGAGATTACATAGAAATACTAACCAAACTAAACGCTAAAATTAAACAAGGAAAGACAACAGCAAAGCTACTTTATTACAAAAATCACCTGTTATCAGCCAAACCAATAATTTTAATTTGTGTTGAGTGCAAAAAACACACTCTGAAAAAAAGCTGCATCGACATTATTAGGAAGAGGACAGTTTTCCTCGAGAGGGACACATCCCAGAAAACATCCTAAATGTGTCTCACTCTGAAATAAATGATCACACAGGAAACTCACTTTGAACACAGTCTTCTCTTTTTCCCCTAAGATACTTCTCTTCATTGAAGTTTCTCTTTCTTCTCTCATGTTGTATATCGTTGTCAATCTTTGAGCAAACAAAGTAGAACTTTTTCTTCATCTTCTGAATCTCCTGCACGAGTTTCACGTCACTTTCTCTGAAGCGAGTGTCTGAGATGATGATGAAGAAGTCAAACTTCTCAAATCCAACACGCTCCAAATATTTATCAGCTGAAAACTTGATTCCAGGGAGATCCCATAAAGTAACCTTGGGATAGTTTGGATGGGGGTACGGTGTGACCTCTAAGGTGGTTTCCACAACACCAGTGGGAGCAGCTCCCTCCTCATCATCACATAGACCTCTGAGGGCATTAACAAAGGTGGATTTCCCAGAACCACATTCCCCTGTGATGGCGATATTTAGAGGTGTTATGTTGTCCTCGTGTGGTAACTTGATATTTGCAGCAGCCAGTGGTTTTTTAATTTTCAGAACACCTGTAATATCTTCTGTAACCATCTTTGATAACTGGAACAAAAAACAACAACAAAAACAAATAAAAATGAGCATCAGTTTTGTTCTTGTGAGGTTTACCTCTGCGTGATCTAATATCATGAAATTGTAAAACATAGAATACTTGGCTGAAAGTGAAAATGAAAAAAAAAAAAAAAGCTTAATTACATTTAATCTATACTTAAGTAAAATTCTGCAGATACAAAATTTACTTAACATTGTTCTTTTTTCGAGCACTGAAATACTTTTAGTTAAATGAAAATAATATTTCAGTTAAATAAATTTTTATTGAGTCAAATGTCTTCATTCACGAACAGTACTGTCTTACACACCACACATCAAACTCGTCATTTGGCTGAATGTAGTCTGAGTTCTCTTATCTCTGTGTTTATTATTCTCCTGTTTCAGATTTGTTGATCTGATTGTTGTTAATTACATTCACCTGCGTCTCCTCCCCCTCCTGTGTCTAATATAGAATCATACAGTCATTTACTTCTGCATGAAATGATTCGAGTGCTGCCTCCTCCAATCAGAGACATAATTAAATGATGATAAAACAGTGATCTTTAAAGAACTGCAGCAACAAAACAGACAAAAGACGAATGCTGCAGAAAATCATTAAGCTGATGATTTATGGCTCAGAAACATTTTAAGTTCTATCAATTACTTTTACACTGAATGCTAGTGTTTAATTGTAAGGTGAAAGCTGTGCATCAGAGTTCTGAGTCTTTAAACTGGATCTATTTAATCATTAAAGCTTCCTGTCCGTCTGCCTGATGAAAGAGACGAGTTACATGAATGTGATTGGTTGGACGGGTGTTCTTGGTGTTGCTCTGTTTCCAACAGTGTCAAAGAGACGAGGCAGCAGATTAGAATGAAGCATTTATACATATTTTATAATAATACACACAGATTCTTGTAACAATGAGCAGAAGCAGCTTTCTGAAGCAGAAAGCCCGGACTAACTTAAAGTTGATAACCACCATCATGAGTAGGGATGGGTATCGTTTAGGTTTTATCCGATACCGGTGTCAAATCGGTACTTTTGAAACGGTGCCGGTGCTCAAACGGTGCTCAAACCGGTGCTTAAAGAATGGAGAACACAAAATTGGTCCAAA